ATATATTCAAACATATATATATATATATATTCAAACATTATATATATATAATGTTTGAATATATATATAATAAATTTCATGGCAGCAACTCGTTTCTTTAAAGTTGTTCAGGTTCATGTTTCCACTGAGGAGTCCAGATGTTGGAGGTTCTGGATGGAGCAGATGTTTTTCTGCATCAATGGATCTTTCCAGATGTGTCAGCTCAGCTGCTCATTACAAGAGGCACTAATGCACCCCCATAGCATCAGAGAGGCAGCTGTGAGCTGATAACGGGCTGGGTGGTCCCTCTCCTCTTCAGTACGGAGCTCCGTGGTTTCTAAGTTTCAGATTTGGACCCGTCTGACCTCAGAACAGTTCTGGTCCATTTGAAACGGGTTCTGGTCCAGAGAAGACGGCAGCGGTTCTGGATGTTCACATTTGTCTTTTTTGTCTGATAGAGCTTTGAGCAGCTTCTGTGGATGAACTGTGTGAACAGACGATGATCTGTGGAAGAGTTCCTGAGCCCAGAACCAGACCTGGTTTTGATGCAGGGGCCCCTGAGGGCCCAAAGACCACGATTGTCTATGTTGACCTTCAGCCTTGACCTTTGACCTCAGAGATGTCTACAGATTCTTCTAATCTGTTCAGATTATGAACTGGAGATGATGGAGATTAAAGTCTCCCATTCAGGAACTTTATTGTGAAATTCCTCCACAGTTTCCTTTGATCCTCAGAGCTGAACATCTGCCCATCTTTACTTCACGTGACCTCCAGCTGGTCCTGATCCGTTCCTCGTAACTTTAAAACCGCTTGTTGCTCCTGAAGCAACTTTTGAGACGCGTTGCTGCCATAAAATTACAAACAGACAAAATGTTTTGGTTTCAACGTTTCAAATGTTCGACTGAATAAAATCAGTCTCGTTTTAAGACTCGACGATCAGAAGATGATTTCTGCTCGTGTGACGGTTCTGAATGTTCCACACTTCCTGCTTCTAATCCCGACTGTGTGACCCGTGCAGGTTGTGAACCGAGGCGACCCGTACCCTCAGGAGGTGGGGGCCACGGTCCAGAGAGTCATGGAGAGGCTGGGCCACTGTAACCCCTTCAGACTGGTGTGGCAGTCCAGGGTGAGTTTCAGCACCAGACGGACCGGAACAACTTCACGTTCTTTAAATCTTATGCGTCAAAGCTCGTGAGGATTAACTCTTCACGCTCTCAGTAACAGGAGGCGGTGCGTGATAGTCACATGACAGCCTCTCAGAGACATTTAATCTTTCAAACATAGAGTTTAATCTGCACCGGTTTTTACATCGTGTTGATCGAACAAGTCAAACCAGAGTTATCATCAATAATCTATGATCAATAATCTATGATCAATAATCTATGATCAATAATCCACCACACAGCTTTTCTGACAGTCGTCATATCTGAAGCTCATTAGAGTGATGGTGCCGTCTGAGGGACAAACACCCCCATCACCCTCCACTCCCCCCCCCCCCCCCCCGAACAGATAAACAACCTCCCCCCTCCTTTCTGAAGGAGGCTCCAAGTTATTGGTCGAACCCCAAAACATGAACAGGAAGAAGAAAAAGAGGCGGAAGTTCAGTGACATAAAGTCACAGAGCGGGAGGGAGTCATGAGGTCTGAGAGATTTGATACTCGGCAGTGTTGCCAGATAGAGTCGAGGTTTTCCAGCCCATAAATCTGTTAAAACACGCCCGATCAATATATTGTTATATTTACTGTGTGAACACACACCTAATACCCCCCACCCTCTGTAAAGATGTATTGGTGTGTTCATCAATGTGATTAATCAAAATCAGTTAAATCTGAACGTTGGTGTCTTTATTCAATAAATCTGCACGTCACATCTCAGGATCTGGTTATTAGACACAGATTAAATGTTCAGTATGAATGTTTCTATATTTGTCACCACAGTAACAGTGTTACACACGTTAGTTGTTGTAAACACTCTAAATAATACATATGTTGGTTTAGTGCTTGCATCTAACCTAAACTTTTAAGGAGTAAATATTTTTAATAATCACTTTAGACGTTATAAATGTTGTCTTTGGTGCCTGTTTGTTTAATGTGCCCATTAGTGTGTGTATGAATTAACATCAAACACTTTGTAGAACGGTGCTTTATGAAGTTCAGTCCATTTCTTTGTATTAGTTGGCCAGCAGTTCTGCCACATCCAATATGGCGGCCGCTCCGACGTACTGCCGCAGCGGGCCGGCCCACTCAACGAGGTGTAACCGCCTCACCAGCTCTCTGTTGTGAACGCCCCGGCAGATGAGTCGCCAATCAGTGATGGAGAAAGATCAGGGGGGCTTTGATATGAAATCATGATGGATGATTGTTTGAAATGTGTTTTTAATACGTTAACTCAAAAAACGCAGATCTGACTCCAAATCCGCCCAAATTATCCCAAATTATCCCCACCCGCCCAAAACAATTTTTACCTGCAAAATCAGAATGAAAACCGCCCAGTCTGGCATCGCTGGTGTGTTTGATGGTTGGGGCGTAGTTTAGCGTTGAGTCAGTTTTGGAGCGTTTGGGTCAAAACAACGAGGACGGAACCACCGAGTCAGAACCTCTCAGACAGAGGAGAGGATCATGGACAGTCTGAGTCAGTTAGTGAGGACTTTGTTGATGAAGAGGGTGATCAGGATTGGTTTTAGAAGAGGAAGAGCGGACCGAGCCCCACTAGGAGGTCTGACTCTGCAGAGGAGGGGGTCCAGAACCGCTCTGACTGGGCCAACAGAACCAACAGAGGAGGATGTGGATGTCGACCCAGCAGTAAACGGGTTCCAGTCACACAGAACTCCAGACAGAGTCCAAAATAACTTTTTATTGTTTTTAGCTCTGACCCGGTCCGGACAGTCTGCAGAACCACCAAGAAGAAGGCAGCAAGAAATAAAGAGTCTGAACTAAAAATAGACGGACAGACGTGAAGATTTGTATAAAAGTTTTGGTCTGACACGATGGGGTCCGAGCATCCAGGATCGACGGAACCAGAACCAGTTTGTCTGAGCCGCTTCAGCCAAAATGACACGAGACCGATCCAGGTCCAGGTCCGGATCCAGATCCAAGAACTGAGCAGGACACGGACAATGACCCCAACAGACTGAGATTTGTCCAAAACACCTGAAAATGTATTTTCTCTGGAAATACTGGAAATAACTTTACTGTTCACTGCATTTGTACACATGATGAATATTACTGTTTATATTTACACTTTGAGTTTTTATTTACACTTTGAGTTTTTATTTACAC